CTGGACTTAGATGTCCCTTCCATGTGTGTATGACACGGACATTCCTTCTGCATGGGGAAAGAAGCTGGACAGATCTTTGGCGACGTGCGACTTGGAGGGAATGCCACCTTCCTCACCCCTGCGCCCCTTATCAACAAGACACACACGCGGCTCACGAAGACCAACACGCCGAGAAGAAGGGCACAAATCACTGTGATGAAGCAGGCCAACCGCGCTGCTTCCCCGCCCCTGCCCCTGCCCTTGCCGCTTTCCGCCACGCCCATTTCTTTGTCCGCCCCTGGGCCTCTCGTTTCAGGCCCGACTTTTGCTTCCCCCCTCCAACTCTCCGGACCGTGCCCCCACCCCTACTCTTTTCTGCCGCGCCCTGCCTCGGCTGAGTTTTGGTTCGGCCTGCCCGGTGGGCCCGACTCTTCAGGCCCGGTACGTTCCCAACACAGGAATCAGGATCTCGCGTGGGACAGTCACGCGAGATCCGCTCCTTGCTTTAAGAGTATTGGAGGGAAAAAAGAAGAAAAAATGATGTAATGGTTGTCGTAAACAACCTGTCACACGCCAACGGGCCTGCCTCAGTTGGTACAAACCATGAATTGTTCAAATACAGACCTCAGTTCCGGTCAGACTGAAGATGATATATCAAGGCCATCGCCCTTTTGGAGAAAACAAGGGGGGGGGGAGGAAGAAACGTGTCCCCTGCACGAAGTCAGACGTGTGCATCACCAACTTGACATGCCAAGTGACTCCCCATTTCCGTCGCCAATCCCCCCTCAAGAGCCTTAGAGTCACTCTTCAATCAGACTATATGGTGGATTGAACTGGATTCCCGCGAATGCCCTTATCACAGTTATCAGACCTTTGAAGACGAAAAAACAAAAATGCCTTATCAGACCTAACCGACATCAACTGATTCGGAAATAACAGAAGAGACGAGTACTTCCGATTATATTTGCTTGGCCGACAAAGTACATGTCTGCTATATTCGGGCTGCGCGCGTGAAATCACTATATCATGTCATGTGCTCCTGCCTGATGCACAATCGGTAGACATTCCAACTGTACTTCTGCTTGTGCTTGAAGCACTTGGGAGTTTTCAGGCCCCCTCATGGGCAGTTTTCGCCTTCGTTCTACTTTTATTCACCGCACAAAAGACCAAAATCAGACCCAAAACTAAATCAGAACCAAGGGAAAATTGCCCATGAAGACTCCACATAAATCCCAGACAGATGCGCCCCTGCCGTCTCTCGGAAACTGTGTTTTCTACCAGCGCCAAATTGCGTAAATCAATCAACCACCTTCGTAAATCAATCGACCATCTGCGTAAAAAACGCCGTAAATCAATTGGGCATGGGGGCCCAAAATAACATTGGTAACTACCAACTGGTTATTGCAGAAAACTTTCTTCACGGGCAATTTCATCATACAACCCCCCCCCCCCCCCGCCCCCCCCCTTCTTTCCAGCGAAGATCACTCTCTCGAAGTAAAAAGGATGACGAGAACAAAGCACAGGTAACAACCGTGACCTTTCAGTTTGCCTGTCGCTTCCCTCGCAACAATGACCCTCGCGCACAAACATTAGTCATGCACCCTCCGCCAAACTTTAGCCCTGATTGCAGAGAGCCTGGCAGAGCGCACAGAGGCAGACTGCTCAGAAATAGCAATGCTCGGCAATGCTCATTTCACGGCGCCCACATCTTCCAGCGGCATATTAGGGGAAGTATGCTGCTATTCAGGACACTATCAGTTGAAAAGCAGACATACGGGCAAGCAACCCAGTCTGGTGGACAGTCTATCTCCAGTAGCTTGAGAGTGCCATTTGTGTCGCGCAGCAGATGCCTAGCTATCAAAGAAGGCCTCTACCGCAAGCCTCAACCAACCCATTAGGAATCCTTTTTGTTGCTGCAACTCCTCTCTACCGCAACCCTTCGTAATGCACACAGGTTGAAAGACAGCAAAAACGTAGTGAGTGCCGCAAAAACACTCCATGGATTTATGCTGTGCGCAGTCTGCACCAAGCCTGCGAAGCAAATGATAACAAAAATGCCTATCAGTGAGCATTTGTAGATTTCCCGACTGACTAATTGTGCATGCATGTTTACGCCATGCTCCTTGACTGAAACACGGTGAACAGACAGCAATGACAAGAACGGGTTAGATGAACAAAGGATGAGATCAAGAGTCCATGTGCATCGCTGCACATCTGGAAATATATATATATATATATATATATCGTCAAATAGAACTGCCCGGTAAACCGTAGGCAGAGAGGGAGAAGAGGACAACAAACGAGGGGCTGTGACAAACTGTTTCGTCGGAGTTTCACCGACTCATCAGGAGGCTGAACCC